ATTTGGATATGTTCGGCTGTGTCTGGTTCCAACAACAAAAATAAAGAGGATAAATTATGAACTAAATATGGGCACTCAGAAATGAAGTCTTTGCTACGTGCCAGGGGGCGTGGCCATTTTCAGGATGAAAATATAAGTCCTGATTGGACCCAACACGCATCTGCTTTGATCAAATGTTTGAATAAGCTAGGCGATATCAATACAATGTTTAGAGAAGGAAAAAAGCCACAAAATGTATTTTAAGAAGTTGTAAATGGGGATGTATATATCAAAATCTGCTTCACTGAACAGCTCTGAATAAGGGATTTGTGGAGCCAGCAGCGAATCGAAGAGGAATTACTTTGCGTTTTGGAAGGGTTGTTGGAAACCAAATGGAATGAAGGAAGTAAACAGTTCCGCTCCATCTGGGAAATAAAGGGGCTGATCTACCACAAGTTCCCATCTCAGGTTTCCTTTCATGAGGAACATTTGTTAGCCATGTGGATGAATGGAACAACTGACGACTTAAGACAACATTTCATGGATTTCTTGTGTCTGTGAACAGCTAAGGCTTTCTGGAGGCACTGTGAGCTAAGTGCTCTGTTGCTGACTTAAGCATCAGGGGTTTGAGCCCCCAGCAGCTCCTTGGGAGAAAGATGACTGCCTCAGAAACCCTGTCCGGGTTCACAATGAGCCCAGGGCGGTGAGAGCAGTGGATTGGATTTGGGTTTCTGAAAACATCTGGTATGGCACTGAGGGGATGCGTAGCCCTGTAAAGTCAGTTTGAGCTGCAATGTCAGCAGTTCAAGCTTACCAGCCCCTCACAAGAGAGTGGAGACACCAGCAGGTTTTGCAGTTCTAATATTTCAGATGCTCCTTGGAAATCCTATACAGAGTCGCTATAAGTCAGAACTGACTCGAAGGTACTAACACCAGCAACAGTCTTTCAGAAGGAAGCGTGGTAGCACCATGGTTACGGCATGGCTGCTAATCAAAAGGTTGGCGGTTCCAACCCACCCAGCTACTCTGTGAGATCTGCTCCCATAAAGACGACAGTCTCGGAACTCTAATACCCAACAACAGTTCTGTCTGTCCTGTGGAGTCCCTATGAGTCAGAAGACACTCAACAATGATGGGATGGGTTTTGATGGTGAAACAATTAAACTACTAACCTAGAGATGAGAGATTCGAACCCAACCAGTGGCTACGCAGGAGAAAGACCTGGTGTACAGATGACAGCCTAGGAAACCCTGTGGGCAGTTCTCCTCTGTTACACCAGGGGGCGCTGTGAGTGGATG